TACATATGTAGCTGCAGGCATTGTGGAAAATTACACTTCAAATTTCACAACAGAGCAGCTATTTTCTATGAAGAGAAGATTTTAAATCCCTGCCAGCCTTCTAGTGGAAACACACCACAGGTGTTTTCAAATTATCGGAAACTCTCCTGTGAATTTGAGTATCTTTGAAAATGAATAGCTCAACAGTACATGCAGCTTGTGAAGTCAGGGATGGTTTGTTTAAAGCTATTTTACTGCCTGTTAGTAAAACTGTAAATTCACTGCTCAAAAGAATTAAAGGAACACTTTGAAACCACATCAGATCTTAATGGGGAAAATATCATGCTAGATATCTAAACTGATATGGACTGGGTAATGTGTTAGGAATGTAAGAATGCCCCATCATTTGATGGAAATGAAAATTATTAACCTACAGAGGACTGAATTCAAAGACACCCCAAAAATCTAAGTGAAAAAATGATGCAGCAGGCTAGTCCATTTTGCCAAAATTTCATTGCAGCAACTTAAAATGGTACTCAGTAGTTTGTATGGCCCCCACGTGCTCATATGCATGCCTGAAATAATTGCGGCATGCTCCTAATGAGACAACGGCTGGTGTCCTGGGGTATTTCCTCCCAGATCTGGACATGGGCATCACTGAGCTCCTGGACAGTCTGAGGTGCAATGTGGCATTGTCCAATGGACCGAAACATGATACCCCAGAAGTGTTCTATTGGATTTAGGTCAGGCGACCATGGGGGGGCCACTCAATAGTATCAATTCTTTCATCCTCCAAGAACTGCCTGCATACTCTCACCATATGAGGCCTGGCATTGTCGTGCACCAGGAGGAACCCAGGACCTACTTTACCAGCATAGGGTCTTATAATGGTTCCAAGGATTTCATCCTAATACCTAATGGCAGTCAGGGTGCCATTGTCTAGCCTGTAGAGGTCTGTAGGTCCCTCCATGGATATGCCTCCCCAGACCAATACTGACCCACCACAAAAACGGTCATGATGAATGATGTTACAGGCAACATAACAATCTCTACAGCTTCTCCAGACCCTTTCACGTCTGTTACATGTGCTCAGGGTGAACCTGCTCTCACCTGTGAAAAGCACAAGGTGCCAGTGACAGACCTGCCAATTCTGGTGTTCAATGGCAAATGCCAAACGAGCTCTATGATTCAGGGCAGTGAGCACAGGGCCTACTAGAGGACATCGGGCCCTCAGGCCACCCTCATATAACTGTGTTGGGAGACAAAGCAAACCTTCTGGCAATAGCACATATTGATGTGCCATCCTGGAGGAGTTGGACTGCCTGTACAACCTCTGTAGGGTCCAGGTATCGCCTCATGCTACCAGTAGTAACACAGACCCTAGCTAAATGCAAACCTAGTGAAAAACAGTCAGAAAAGATTGGTAGGGAAAAAAATGTCAGTGGCCTCCACTGTTCTGGGGTTGTCTTATTGTTGCCCATTTAGTGCACCTGTTGTTAATTTCACTAACAGCAAAGCAGCTGAAACTGATTAACAACCCCCTCTGCTTTTTAACTGACCAGATCAATATCCCAGGAGTTTAATTGACTTGATGCTATCCTCTGATTAAAAAATGTTCCTTCAATTATTTTGAGCAGTGTACTTTAAAGTGGTTGTAAACCCTTACAAACACCCAGTGAAATGACTAGCCTCAGGTGACACACAGAGAGGGAACAAATCCTCACATACAGTGACATAAGTTGTACCTATTTACAGCCTCTTAAATCTGACTTTTTACACAGCATCTCAGAGCTATAGCTGGTAGGGGGTGGAAATCTGACATCACATTAGCTGTCAGAAATTACTCATGAAGATAGCAGAGCAGGCAGGCATCAGAAATAAATCACACTCATATCTTTGGATTGAGGCAAGTGCATACTGAAAAAAGGATATGCTTTGTTCATTTTTTTCATGTCAGGGGTTTGTAACCACTTTAATACACATAATCTGTGTACAGGTGAACCTTAGAGTTTTTGATTTTTTAATAGCATAGTGTAAGCATCAATTTTTGCTTTTGGCAGCTAAGCCAGTAAAATACCAGACATCAATGCCATATATAATTGTGTTTTATCACAAAGCTTTCACAGTGAATTTTAAGCATAAAAACATCTAAAGAAAGAACAGTCAGTGCTGCCTAAAGCAACAAATAAGATTCTTCCATTCTTGTTTCTAGTGTATATTAGAAAAAGAATGGTAATTTCAAATGTTTTATATAAGGAACATGAACGTTTTTTTTTTAAACAACCTTGAGGATGAGGTCAAGTTGTTTTTTAAATGCCCAGTGCTTTTAATATGGCTGCCTGTACTTAGTTATACCTCTGCACTCAGATGTAGCCCTCATTGAGTCTACATGCTAGTGCTACTAACAGTGTATTACTGTATATTTCGGAAGAATAGATTCATTCATTCTGAAGCATTTCTAAGTATTCTGAAAGTTACTTCTATGTGTGAGTATGTGCAGTTATATGATGGATATGATGAAGACAAGTCCATACTGTTTTTCCCAAAGAATAAAATTAACACACTGCAAAACAGTATTATGAATGAAATATACAGACATCTACAAATGTGCCCTGAATTCCTTCAGTAGAGGTATTGTATTGCAATATCACATAGTTTTCATGGTTTAATTGGAAATTTACACCAGATGGTACAAATGGTTTTGTGAAATATTAAAGGAGAACTCCATTCAAACATATATATTTCAAATTAATCCTCTTACCATGCCACAGGCAGGCCTTAAAAAAAAAAACTCAACAAAACTCTGTTGTTAAAAAATGTTGTCATAATACACAAATTCAATTAATTGAGGCCAGCAGCTCTTTGACCGAAGTGGCTTTGTAATTGTAGATTGTTTCTGTGCAGTAAATTGGTGCTTCTGAATGTAAATTTAGTAAAAGGGGCATAGCGTCTTGATTTATAGGCTCTGCTGCCTATTTTAAACTGAGAAATAAACCCATGTTCAGGTTTACATCTGATTTAATGACTTGAAAATTCAATTTTAAGAAGGTGATATTGTATTGTATGTATTTTAGTAAAGGGGTTTTTTTGGTCTCCTTTTTACCTACTTCAAATCAAGAAACTGGTTATCCAGTCTTCTAGCACAATTCAGCAAACTCTTCACCATCACAGAAATAGAAAAAAAAAGAAACTATGTAGACAATATCTTTTGTACAGCTAACTAAATATATTTTGAGGTCAAGACATTCGGAATCACCTATTCCCTTTTGAGGCATGCCTGAAAGGAAAACTTTTGGTTAACTAGTGATTAAAAAAGCCTGCACCTCAAAATATATTCAGTTAATCACATAGAAGCTATTGCCTACATTTTTGCTATCTACGATGCAACACTTTACTACAAGGATTCTCAGTACAGTAGAAGTATTGAACTTTGTGGTTCACAGTTTGGGGGAAACAGCTGTATTAGTTCTTACTGTCTTAGGTTATAAAACCCTGAACAACTAAGCTTTTTGATTTGTATGTGCAGAACGTTGCAGTATGGGAGGTTTACACTTTTGATAAGGATGGTGGATTTGCCCAGCAGAGCACCAGAGGAGAAAAATTGCATTAAAACCACGTTATGAGGGATGCCACTTATTACAGTATCTTCTGCCAACTAAAGGCAGATCAGTATGATGTGTATTGCAAGTGTACAGCTCATGCACATACAACACACATCATACTGCTCCTCTTCCAAGTTACTAGGAGATAGCAGTGGTTTTTAGTCAAGCGGCCAAAGTACATTGATGCAACACATGCTGTAGCTGGAGAGTGAGGCTAGCAGTGTGTGTGTGGAAAGTGGGTAGAGCCCTGGAGGTGAGAAGCTTTACCTATCCACTGAAAACTACTGGACCTGCCTCCCTTCCACTTTATACTGCATCACAGCTGCTACTGTTTCTCCTTCTTCTGACAGCCTGTCTATGCATGACAGATTGGAGGCTAAATGATGCCAAACTATGGATGATGAAGTCACTGACCACAGATAGATTCCCTATTTATTATACATAACAATAAATGCCAAAGGTGGTCTGAACCACCTTTACTTAACTTTAAACTGCAAATGGATTGGGGCACATTGTAGGTGAAATAATTTAGTTGAAAGCTAATGAAGCCATGCCAGTAAACAAACATGGACAAATCAACACCCAATCCACAAATTGGCTGGGGTGGCAACAAATCAGAATGGGCCAACCAGCTGGAATATTCAATCATTTAAAGATGATTGGCTTGACTGTTTCAAACAAACTGCTGGCATCTTCACAAGTCTGTTTGGTGAGTGGTCATGGTGAGTTGTCATGTGTTTTCTTGTATCTGGCATTAACTCCAACTTCATTAGCCATCTTGCTAATTAGTTTAAAGGAAAATATAGTGTATGCAAGGAAGTTCCAATGTAAAAAAAAACAAATGCACTGAAAAATAATCCAGACTAATGCCTCTGGAAACCCCATTTGGGATGTTCAAGTATAACTACACACAGGGTTCCATGTTCCATACTGTGTAAGCATGTAATTTAACCTAAAACTCATCCACACAGTTCTTTCTGTGCACTATGCTGTGTAGTGGACTTTTCAAATATATAGGAAACATGTATATGATGTTTAACCTATTCCCTAAGTTAGTATTATTGTCATCCTCAACATATACTGTTACCAAACAGAAAAGTTGTTTGTGGTTAACCTCTATTGAACCCTGTATCTCTAAACTAGGCCCAGTATGCAGCACTTTGCACTGCACCATGCCCAGTCTTCTCCCGGAACCCAATGGGCCCTCCCTTTTCTCCGGTTAGCTCCAGAGTCCTAGACCACCCCAATGCCAAAGTACCAGAAACTTACCATTAAATGTCTGTGAAGTAGTTTAATTGTAAAGCCTGAAACAAATAGAAAAATATAAAGAACAAGACCAAAGTCAAAACAAACATTATGTTTTTTTTTTTAATGGAGTTCTCATTTAATATGATATACATATGCAAACATGATCCAAATTCACACAGAGTCAACCTTGACCTGATTATTGTTTGTCAACATTGGTGATGGTTTGCTTTTAATCTTCTCTGCTCCATCATTTGAACTTTCTTGAAAGAATATCTTTGCAGTACAAATAGAAATGATAATCCTCTTGTACTCCCTCCTGAAATTCTGGTTCAGGAGACCATATATAATAGCATTAAGGCAACTGTTGAAATATGCCATATAATAACTGCCAACAAACAACCATTCAGGAATTCTGGGGAGAATTGTGTCTGGATTCACAGCCACAGCCAGGCCTATGAAGTTCAGTGGTGCCCAGCAGACTGCAAATAACACAAAAACCACAAACATGGTCAAAAAGTTCCTGAAATCATGAGGTTTCAGCTTAGGTTTATTATCAGGCTTTACTCTACGTCTCACCTGTATAACCAAGATCCAAATACGTAAGTAGCAAAAAGTTACAATAGTAATTGGGAGTATAAAATGGAAAAATACCACTGCTATGGTATACGCGGAGCTGACAGACTGCGTGAATGTACATGAATAGATCCGAGCATCATACTGTAAAGATCCAACAAATAAATTTGGCACAATGGCAATGAATGTTAGCACCCAAATCAGAATCACATAGAACAATGAATTTTTGTCACTGTATAACTTGTCGTATTTGAGGCTATGACAAATGTAACAATAACGGTTGATTGCAACACCAGCAATGTTGAATATAGATCCTATGACGCTTATTCCCATCAAGAATCCACTAATTTGGCAGTGGAGATATCCAAGATTCCATCCTTTTCTAAATATCGATGTCAGTACCAAGGGATATGGGTAGATGGCCACCACAAGATCTGCCACAGCCAGACTAACGACAAATATATTTCCTATAAAAGAACAAAAAATACAGTTAGTATTTTAGTTTCAATTTGTTTTTTAAAGGATAACTTTGCAAGGCACAGGCCAACTAAGCAAAAGGGAGTGTAGTGAAATAATGTACCATGTTGCCTCTATTATGCCAAATTAAACTACTGTAATTTGTATATGAAGCATATTATATTTGGAAGTGTTGGGTTTACACTTGACTCCAGTATTGCAAACCTCTTTCCTATCTTGGTGTCACCGTGGCAGCTCTGACATTTAGTCTATGAGCGTGAAGGTGTGTGGCATAATTAGGATTTAGCATTTGGGATCATCCATATAAAATGTAACCAAACGTTTTGGCACCTAACTTTTTTGTTAGCAGCAGCACACTAAGTGGTATGCTTGTTGTTGTGGGAAATGGAGTTAAATTACCATTAATTGCAGAGGTTAGCTGGTAAGTGGATAGTATTCAGCAGAGCGAGTCAAATTGACATAAAAATGTAGCGCTCTTCTTACCCATCCTCCTTCTATAAAGCACGTCTTACACAAATTTTTAATTTTGCTTGCCACTCTTTGCACATGTCAGTCACACAAACAGAAAGATCTCAACTATTGCCTGGTTTAGGTTGCTGCTTCTGAATTATCTCCCTGCTAATTGGACAATAATGATCATGCTGATTCATTATTCACTAAGCAAGCTAGTAGCAGTATGGTGTCACAGGAAGCTGCATTGCTGAACCAGGGAATAAGTGTGTAACCTGCCTAATTTACTAGTTTGGCAGAGATGTGTAAATCATATGACTAGAGAATTGAAATCCTTTGACATATAAATTAATAAAAAAAAAATGTATATATATATATATATATATATATATATATATATACTATATATGTGGTTGTCTTTGGCTTTTTGACTGCACTTCTGCTTTACCGTAGCAGTCAGTGTAGAATTAAACCAGCTTAAATCTATCTATAAAATAAGCATGCTTTGGACCATATGGCTCACGATTTCCTGAATATGTAAAAAAATATAAAAGAATAGATAAATATCATTATAAGACTGACTAAGTGAGAGCTTTGTATATCATTACTGTAATTGTGAAAAACAGAAGTTATCTTAAATTTTCAACAGGCACCTTTTTTGAGGGCCCTCAAATCATTTGTGCACTACGGGTTGTTTCTTTGTTTATGTCTCTTGATAGTTTCGAATGTCTTGTAAAATATGCAGAATGTTCTTTCTGATATAATTAAATATGCATTACCCCAGACATCATTAGTTCTAGATAAAACTGTGAGGAACATTCCAAACATTTTTTTTCAGAGTAGTAGCATAGTTTTCTTTGCAGCATTTTAAACACACTTTAAGTATTCTTTTCTTTAATTTGCTGATTTGTAATTGATCTGTATAAATAACAAATGCTTGTAAAATTTACATGGAGGTATTTTGGAAAAAGAATTGAAAAAAGGTTAAACATCATTTAAAGCTGCTTTAGAAACCTGCATACTTTGGTACAAGATTGGAATGTAAATTGGCTTTTGTGAAGGCATGCTACAGAATGTGTTAAATTGATACATTTGGAAATGTTCTAACTACATTAGAATTATGCAAAATAGAAAGTTAAATGGTGACCAGCTATACATGAGTGATAATGATTACACTGTACCCATTAATGAAACACAAACTGGTGTTAGATATCTACTGCTTCGAAACCAATTTCATTTCTGCTGTTTTTAAATCAAATGCTTTCCTTTTTGGTTCCTTTGCTACCTGTCTCTTGCTCTCTAATACATTAGCATTCTTTTCATAAAGTCATAGTAAGGATTTCTACCACATTTTCCACTTATTTTTTAAAAAAGTGTGAACATGCTGATCCTATAGTGCAAAAATAATTTGCTCTAGTTTTTGCACAATTGCACACATTCATTTTTGACATTTTATTCTTTCTGCTTACTCATAGGGTCATTTACAAAACACAAAAAAAATGTGGGGTTTAGTGTATTTTTAATGCAGAAATGCACTTATTTGTCATCTTCATACATAATCAAGTACACATCTACTTCGCATTGATCTGAACTGTTGTTTTCTTCTGCTCTAGTAAAAGATTGATGAATATATATGAGTGTGCATCAGCTTGCAAATACTCACAGTAAAACATCACATTAAAGTGTTTTTGACATGCAAAGAGCATTGGAGTCAGTGCGGAACATGAAATTAAGGTGGCGTAGGTGATTTTTAAGGTTTTAAGGGTGCATGTGGCTCCTGGGTGTTATGGAAGCTCCACTCAACAATGTTGGATCTTTTCCTGTGCCTTTTTTTAACAGAAAGAGTTGAAAAAAGAATAAAACATGCAAAGCAGCAGCACACAATTACAAAATACTGTACACAAAAAATGCAAAAAAAACTAAATTAAATCAAATAAATTAAACTTACTTTAATACAACCCTAAAACTCCCCTAACCCATTAAAAAATAATTTAAAAACAAAATGTTTAGCTTTATCCCAAAGTAGCATAGTGAGCAAAATTCATACTGTATATATGGTGACTGGACAACTGGGCATGATTTGACCACTAAAGTGTTTATTTAAAGGGATTCTAAAGGTTGTAATTTTAAAAATACTTACCTGCTCTGTGTAATAGTTTTGCACAGACCAGCCCCGATCCTCTTCTTTTTGGGTTCCCCCGCTGGTGGTCCTGACTCCTCCCCTTTGCCGAGTACCCCCAATAGTAAGCCTCTTGTTATTGGGGCACTCAAGCAGGCTCGCTACTGAGCCTGGGGCTCTGAGCTTGGCTTACTGGCTGTGATTGACAGCAGTGGGAGCCAATGAGGAGAGAGAGACCAGGAAGAGCCACGGCTCTCATGCACATTGTTAGATTGAGAGGGGGCACAGCTAAGAATAAGGGTGGAGCTGAAGGGGGAGGTGCACCCAGAAGGTTTTTTTACCTTAATGCATAGAAAGCATTAGTGTAAAAAAAAAAAAACCTTCTGCCTTTAGTGATCATTATATATATATATATATATATATATATATATATATTCACAGTATATATATATATATATATAATATATATATATATGCTGTATCTAAACAAAATAACAGAAGTGCAGAAATACTGCAGCCAAATATTTAATTTATTATATAATAATTTTATATTTTAATATAAAAAGGAAAAGATTACATCCTTGAATGTGCTGACTGCATTAGATTTGGTTTTGTATACCTTTCCTCTTTATTTTCACCAGTAACACTCTTCCTCTGTTTATCCGTTTTTAGCAAATAAGTGCATCTTATCCAGTAGGGTATAATGAATGCGTTCCATGAGCAATTTCAGCATCAATTCTGTGTAAAACGGAGGCCAAGGGTACAGCATTGGACCTCCAATGTATGGCAATAGACCATAAATACAATACATATAGTATGTATCAATCTCATAATGGCATCAGAGACCCCCGGGATATGAGCCCCCAATAGACACGTCTGTATAGACAATCATACCGGGGTACCCGCCAGTGAGGTAGCCACCTCAGATATCTTGCACCAAATTAAAGATATAGTTGGGCAATCCCAAAATATATGAACCAAAGTACCTGTGAGGCCACAGCCCCGGAAACATAAAGGGGACGTTTGTGGGAACAATACATGTAGTCTTGATGGGGTATAATACCATCTGGTTGAAACCTTAAGGGCCGTCTCACGAACAGAAAGAGATCTAGAACACTTACATATGTTATCCACCATGGAATCCCAATCCTCATCCGAAAAAGTGATACCACTAACCTCCTCCCATTTTTGTCTGTATAAAGGGGGTGGAGGAAAAAGACAGATCAAAGATTGGTGATAAAGATCAGAAATAAGACCCCTACCCCTGGGAGAGTCACGGCTGATACGTTTAAAAAAGGAAATTGGAGAGGATGGTATAAGGCCAAAATGTGAATTAAAAAAGTGTCTAATCTGTCGGTAATGATGGTACTCACAAAGAGGAAACATCAAAAAACACGCGCAGCATATCAAAGGTAATGTAAGATCCTCCTCTTTGGAAATCAGTAATCTGATACCAGGTATTCTTTTTATGAAAGCTGCAGATTTAAAAAGATGAAAAACAATACCTGAAATTATATTAACATGTCAAAAGCGTATGCAAGATTCTAGTGAAGAACAAAAAGTAAACCATCTAAGTCTAGTAGAAGGCCCTACAAGCAACAGATTGTGCAAACAATCTACATTATGAAGACAAAATTAAAAACAATCTCCTGGACTTTCTGTTCTCAAGGTGATTAGACCTTCCAGGAAGATTGAAGGAAAAGAAGCTTGAACATATCTCCCAAGATGCCTCTGGAAAACCTTTTAGGTCCACTTAATTTAAAATTTAGTTGTAACTTATTGAAACCAATGTTTCTCAGCTTTCAGCAGTTTTTTCTCTATAGGCACATGGGTTATTTTCAGTTAATGAGAGTGTCTTTAGACATAGAAGGGCGATAATTGTGTAGGCATTGTAGAATCTTCTATCAGTATGTGCAAGGCCTTAGCACTCCATAATCAGATATATTTGTGTCTCGCCGCAACCTTTCTCTTTATGTCTGGGCAAAGGGCAGGGACATTAACTGCTTCTATCTAAAAGGTACAATACCAATCAAATGTGCCCCTGGTGTCCAGCGAGAGGTGTGGTGAGCATTTTATAAATATGGCCACATCCATATTGGATGGCTTCTCATTATCTGATGTAATCTCAGGTTAATGGACTGCTTTAATTCAGGAAAAATAACCCTCATATCTTATTTTTAACACTTATTCTACATATATATCGGAATATATACTAAGCAGATATATATTGAAATAGCTACTTCAATCATGTAAAGATGAATACGGTTATAAATATGAACCCGCAAGCAATTATATCTTACCTCAAAATTAAAAAATCAATTATTATTATTAATGAAAAGCTGCCACACTTACACATACTCATACAAATGTGCTACATAACATAATTATACAATAACAGTGCAGCGCTTCTCTCAAATGCAAA